AAGAAAAGCATTCTCTGCTGCACTAAGCGGGGGGAAAGCTGTCAGACAGTGGTTGGCAAGAATAGATAGTTTAGCTAATTTAGAATATTTGGGATTCATCCAGGACCAAGCTTGGTGGACCACATTCCTGAGAATTCCTTGATGATTTTTCATTTTGAATTGCTATTATTTGTCCATCAACAACAAAAGCTAAAAAAACCAAAGTCAGCAGCAAAGAACATAGAGAAGAGACATTGCTGAGGTCTCAGTATGCTGGGAGACACAACAGGCAGTCACAAACTCAAACCCAACACAACCTGTCCTGCACTCAAAGCTGACAAGAAGAGTGCCCCAATAAACCCAATGGCCGATGAACCTCCTATTTCAAGTACATTTTATCACACCATAAATCTGTTGCTTGGCTGCACAAACAGACCAGTCCTCACTCTTTCAACAAATACTTCTTGAGCCAGGTAAACTATGCTGGTACTTGGAACAGAGAGAGAGAAAGAGAGAGAGAGAGAGAGAGAGTGTGTGTGTGTGTGTATGGTCTCCACCCTTAAGGAGCTCAGGTTGCTGAGCATAACAGATAAGTAAATCAACAGTTACAATGATAAGTGCTTTGCAAGAGAGAAAGACATGCAGGGTGTTCTGGGAACCAGGAGGAAGGTCATTTCCAGGTCATGGAGAGGTGCTGGGTAGGGAAGAATGGTATCCTGAAGAGTGGGGGCAAACTGGAGCTGATTTCCCTAGAGGGTAAGGGTGAGCAGTGACCATGCCATTCCCAGGAGAGGGCCCAGCACTGGCAAAGACACTGGAGGTGACGGCTATTGGTAGCTTGGCTGAGGTTAGAAACATAAGTTAAGGAAAAAAGAAAACCTAGAAGGGGACGGGGGTGGGGGGGGAGGCCAGATGATAAGAAAACTGCAGCCCCACTGAAGGGGGTTAGCTTTTATTTTCTAAGCATTAAGGAGCTCTTGGAGAGTTTTAAGCAGAAAAAAAGCTCTGATCAGAAATATGTTAGAAATATCATATTGAGGCCGGGCGCGGTGGCTCACGCCTGTAATCCCAGCACTTTGGGAGGCTGAGGCAGGTGGATCACGAGGTCAAGAGACTGAGACCATCCTGGTCAACATGGTGAAACCCCGCCTCTACTAAAAATACAAAAAATCAGCTGGGCATGGTGGCGCGTGCCTGTAATCCCAGCTACTCAGGAGGTTGAGGCAGGGGAATTGCCTGAACCCAGGAGGCGGAGGTTGCGGTGAGCCGAGATTGCACCATTGCACTCCAGCCTGGGTAACAAGAGCGAAACTCCGTCTCAAAAAAAAAAAAAAAGAAATATCATATTGATAGGAGTGTGAGCAGTGGAGTGAGGGAGGAAAAAGGTGAACACAGGATGACCGATTAAGAGGTTGTCATAGAACGAAATGATGAGTCCTAAACACAGGAGTGGAAAGGACAAGAACTGAGTTGACAAATTAGAAGACGAGCTCTTCAGGATATGGTAACCAAGGGAATATAAGGGAAAAGACAAGGCCAGGACAACTCCTGAAGCAGAAGCAACTGAGGCATGTAGACCAAGCAGGTAGCACAGGGAGAAAGATGCATGTGGCACTCAGAGGGGATAGACAAGCTGAGGTGCCCTCGGGGCAGACTACTAGGAGTGTGGACTAGGAGGAGGATATGGAGACCCAGGTGTCTTCCAAACAGAGGTGAGTGCTGGATAAGCTCACCTAGGGAGGCCATCAAGGACGACGTTAAAGGGACCAAGCCAGACCAGAAGCTAAGGACAAAGAATAGATTACCAGCAGAGCAGGCTGTGGAGGCTGAGATCTGAGCAGCTGGAGAGGAACCCGGAGCCGACCCAGGAGAGGCATGCTCAGCAGAGCTGAAGAAGGTGAGGCCTGTCCTCGCTGCAGAGAGCAGTCAGCTGGGCATTAGCAATGGCAGCCAAGCAAAATAATTAAAACAACGTGCTGACAGCACAGCCGACAATCTGTAGTCACCTCAAAAGGATTTTTATGGATTTTACCCCCTAAGAGCTCACTGTCTCATTTCACTTCTTGGACAGGCCTTTCCCCCTCCACCCTGGTCTCACTGTCTTTTATTTCAGAGCAAGATCACACCTGATGTCACATTCTACATCTCACACATGTAGATGTCTGCCTCACATGTAGATGTCTGCCACAACAGCAGAGGCCTCGTCCTGTTTCACTTCTATAACCATGGTGCCAAGAGCAGTGCCTGAGAGGTTAAGCACCTTGTACCAAGACCCTTGGTTCATTCAAAGAAATTAATAACTAGTGAGTAAAAAAACATATTACATGCCAGATTCTGTGCTACAATGCTGGGGATACAGTGAAAAACAAGACAAAATAGGAGCCTGCCTTTGGAGCTTGAAGTTGGAGGTAATTGGAGAGAAATGCCGAGAGTTTAAACAAAAATGACATTATAATTGTCATAAAGCTAGGATTGGAATCTGACTCTCATGCCTTCTAGAGCTATTTTCTTTCCAAGCCCAAGGCTGCTGCCTTCAACTAAATTTTATCTGGGGAAACAGTTAAAGTAAGTGTTTGAGGTTTGGCCTTAGTCTCTTCCAGACTTCCCACACTTCTTCCGCCCTTTCAATAGACTCCTAAGAAGTGGAAACACCCACTACAGGCTCTGAATATTTAACCTGAGGGACTCAATCTATCTCTAGTCCTTCTACATTAGTAGGACAAAAAATTCCAGACATAGGTGAGAGAAAATAGGAAGCAGCATAAGCCAGGGATTGTACAGACCCGGGTTCAAATCCCTTGAAACCTTGCATAGGTTACTCAACCTCTTTATGACTTATTTCTAGCTGAAATGTGAATACTATTAGTAATTCCCCCATCACAGGTCATTGCAAAGATGAAATGGAATGATACACAATAGCACTTAGCACTGGACTTAATACATAATGAGTATTCAATAAATCATAGCTCTAAACTAGTTACACCTGTTGCTTTTATTACTAGATCTCTAGCTGCTATATTCACAAAAACCAAGTCAAAAACTACTTAGAATTCAAACCAAAGAAAGTACACTCAAAATACTCAGAGCACAAACTGATACATAATTAAATCACGACTGGAGGAATTATCCTCAAGTCCCCATACCTGGATAAACTCTGCAGTAAGAAGATTTATTTCAATTTTTGGTCCACCCTATTTTCTCCTCCAATTTATACAAATGTAACTTCCCCAACAGATCACATCTTGTTTCATGGCAGGGGTCCAAACATAGGCTGGATTCCATGGTGCAAGTTGTGGCAGAGTTAAGAACACCACACCTCAAAGGGAGCATAAGAACACAATCACAAGCCCAAGGTACACACAAACTCCCAAACACAGCTTGGCTCCAAAGAAGGAAATGAGAACTGGTCACAGCATGCTTTCCCTGCTAAAGCAAAGGTTATTCCGACAAGTATCTAAGTCTTATGTGTCTCCCTTCCTTTACTACCTAAACCTTCTATGAGTGGTCTATTTTTGTAACATCTCAATTCTTTATCCTTCATTTATGTCCAACTCCATGCAACCTGGCTTCCTTTCCCTTCCCCTCTTGTGACATTACATTCCTCAAGGCCACCTGCAAAGACCTTGTCACAAATTCACCAGCCTCACTTCAGATCCCTTCTCCCTGGTCTCTGCTGCCCCATTCTCTTCCCTTCCTGGGACTCTCCTCCATGGCCTCTGAGTCCCTTCTACCTTCTTCTTTCCATCCCAAAGTTATGCATGCTCCCCACAGATCAGCCCACTGCTCATCTTGGGGAGACTATATTTAATACTATGGCTTCTATTCTACATCTCTAGACTTAAACTTCTCAGGCCAGGCCTCAGCCCTGCATGTCCAATTCTCTGCTGGACATTTCCTATGGATGAACCGCTATTATCAAGAATTCAACATATCTACAACCAGATACATCAGCTACTCCTTTCAAGCCCCCACATCTACATTTCTGTCAATAATACCATTGTTGAACAAGCAAGTTTAAAATTTCATCCTCTTTGACTCCTGTCTCTAAAGTCTAAGAAGACTGAAAAGACTATTGGTTTTCCCTTTGCAGTATCTCTTCCATTGGTCCTTTGCTTCCATTTTCACTACTGTTCACCACAAGACCTCATGCCTGGATGGCTGCTGCTGCCTTCCAATGGGCACCTATGCCTCCTGTCCAGCTATACCATGAATGTTCTGAAAATGTAAACATCATTTCCACCACTTCACTTCTTTGTCCAAAATAACTTCAATGGCTTCCCACTGCCTTCAGGATAAAGTCTATGTGCCTTAGCTGGGGGCATTTAGGGTTTAGAAAAGAAGTTGGCAAACTACATCCCGCAGGCCAAATCCGGCCCACCACCTGTTTCTGTAAATAAAGTTTTACTGGAACACCGCCACACCCATTCATTTGCATATTATCTATGGCTGCTTGCATGCTACCACAGCAGAGTGGAGTAGCTGTGACAGAGACCACATGGCCTACGAAGCCAAAAATATTTAGCATCTGGTCCTCTACAGAAAAAGTTTGCTGATGGACTAGAATCATCAGATGCCGGCGGATACCACCACAGTTCCTGCCTATGACTCCTTTTGGTGATGAAGGTTTTGCTCCTGTGGAACTGCTGCTAAGCCGACTTTTTTACATCTCACCTCTATGGTCTCAAGCCCCCAAAATCTTCTTTCACTCTTCCTTGGACTTTTTTCAATCTAGCTTGCCCTTCAAAACACAGCCAAAGCTCCACCTCTCCATGAGGCCAGCTGCATCCATCCCCTGAACCCCTTGGTTCCCCTCTTGTGGCCTCCCTCTCTGCATCTACCACAGAAAGCTACACTGAGATTTCCCTTTTCCTATGCACCCCTTCAGCCTGTGCTACAGGCTTCTCCAGGTCCAGGGCTGGTAACCTCCACAGAGAACCTGCCAATGATAACTACCTTGCCTTTCATTTCACATATCAATCCTCAATAGCATAATTTGGTAAGAAGGTATCAAACAAACTTACCAATGAAGGCTCAGGATTCCACATTGGAAAAGTTAAGCTTGGGTCCAAACTTAAGCACTCTAGCCAGCACCACCTAAAAGCCAATGAAATAAAAGTTTAGCTTTAAATTAATAGCACCTAGTTAGTTTTGATTTACCATCATCCTGGGATGCCCATTTCTGCTTCTTTGCCTAGAAATTCTCGCTTGTCCTTCAAATCCATTGGACAGTTTTTCCCTGTAAGCCTCCACAGTGTCCCAGGCAGGCCAGGTACCCCCTCCTCTCAGCACCCATGGAACTCTGGTAGCATGCCTATGATAACACATGGCACATCGTGGCATAACTTCTTGTTTAGGAAGGAGAGCGGGGATTCTCTAGACTGTAGGCTTTTCAAGAGAAGAGACCTGTAAATTTACCCCATTCCATACCCGCAACTGCCTAGAGGACTATAGGTACTTAGATGGTCTTCAATAAATACTTGTAAAATAGATGGAAAAATAACCTACTCAATTCATTAACACATGCTGGGATATCTAAAATTCTGCTGGGCTGGAATTTTCACCATAAAAATGCCCCAACCCCACTGCTTTTAATAGGCAACAGTTTAACAGGAAGGACTCATGAAATTAATCTAAATATACGCGTTTGGAATGACACTCCCCTGGGCAGAAACCATCAGAGGCTCCCAGAATTTAAGAAGGCAGGCTCAACTTTGCAGCACAGGATGCTGGGCCTGTACCAATTGGCCCGGCCTGACTCTGCAGTCTCAGCTTGTATGGTTTCCCCTGACAGACCCTACCATCCAGACAAACAGGACTGATAGTCCTCAAACAACCCCCTGTCTCAGCCAGATGTCTTCCTCCACTTTCCTCCACATTACCTCCATCTACTGAGATGGCATTCATTTCAAACATCACATCCCAGACCAAGCTCATGACAGGGCCCCAAAAAGTGCTTTGTTGTTTTTTTTCTCTCCATGTTTAATTGTGAGAAAATAAATACATGTCATATGAAATTTACAGTCTTAACCATTTTTAAGTGTACAGTCCAATGGTATTAAGTACATTCATGTTGTTTTTCAACCACCACCACCATCCATCTCCAGAACTCTTTTAATCTGCAGAAATGAAACTCCATACCCACTAGGTAACAACCCTCTCTTCCCACCTCCTCACAACTCCTGGCACCCAATAAGATTTTGCCAAATGAATGAGTACATACATGAATGAAGATATGAATGAATCTGACTCAATCCTCCCCACAAAAGCCACAAGTACTGTTTCCTTCTGCTGGATTCCTATGGTATTATCTTCACATCTTTCTCAGATTGATTTCAATCCATCTTAAATGATCCTTTTTTGCACAATTATATTCTCCTTCTGGGAAGAAACTATGACTTATTTGCAAAGTTAGGCTTAGGTCCAACAGCGTGCACTTAGACTGTCTTGCATATTGCTAGATCCATTGGTCAGGTCTCTGTCCTCACCTTGCAGTTCTGACACCAGTTCTCTACAGCTCTTCTGGTTTTCCGCCCACCTCACTGGCTGCTCCTTCTCTTTGCTTATTTTCCCTTATTTCTATCTCTCACCTTTTATGTCAGAGTGTTCAGTCTTTGTTTTCATCTCTTCTCTGTCACTCCCTTGGTAATTTCAACTAGTCTCCTGGATTCACACATATCACCTCTATGCTGATGATACCCAGATTTCTCTCCAAGCCTGGACCCTTCCTCTGAACTCCTGACCAGTATATCCAACTGCTTGTGTCAAGTTAAGAAGTAGATGGGAGCTTTGTGTAAGACACAGTGGATATCTCAAACTTAAACATGACCAACACAGACCCCTGACTTTCCCTGACCTGCTCCTTCCAGAGTCATATCTGCCTCAGTTTAAGACAACGTTCTTCCAGCTGCCCAGACCAAAAATCTGGAGTCATTTTCATCTCCTTTCTCTCTCCCTCCATATCTAATCCTCACTAAAACTGGTTCTTACCTTCAAAATGTATTCAGAATGCGACCATTTCTCACCACCTCCACCGTCGCCATCCTAGATTGCTGTGACAGCCTCCTAATTGGTGCCCTGCTTCCCTGCTGCTACTCTTGTAGTCACTCTACCTCCACCCATAGTCTATTCTGAACAGAGGAAGAAATCTGGTGCAACATGAATCAGATTGTGTCATTTCTTTCCTTAAATCCCTTAAAAGCCTTCCCTGCAAGGACGATGCCAAAAGGACGAATGTGCTTAAAGCAGACTCGCAGGCCTCGGGACAGGCTGGGGGCAGGGAAGCCTCCAAGCCAGTGTCCCCCTCTCTCCCACCTATTTCTCCACTGGCAGTCCTGACTGTATCACCTATTATCCGATTTCTCAAAAAGGAAGCTCTTTAAAGGGAGGGAAAAGCAATCAATCAGCTTCCTTTTCCAGCTGGATACCACAAGAAGCCAACAACACTCACACTTCTGAAGAAGCAATACGGTATGCCAACACTTAATAACGTTTCCAAAGATAAGGCCAGCCTTCCAGAGACTCAGTCTTTATGCCCTTGGTGGCAGTAGGGAATCCTCTGTAAGACCCCCTTCTCCCTGCCTCCAGCTGGCCACCAAGTCTTGCTTGCCCAGCGTGTCTTAAGACTCTATCCCTGTCCTCCGCCTCACTGCTGCTGTGGCTGGATATGAAGTACAAGTAAAATGAGTCAGGACTCTAAGCTAGCTCAGGCCTCATCAGTGCTCCTTGGAGCTACAGTAGTGGCCTCCTAATCAGTCTCACCACCTCTTGTCACTCACTTGGAACCACAACCCCATAGTGTCCAGAATGATTTTAGTAAAACCGAACTTTGATCAAGTCCCCTGCTTAAACCTCTATGAAGAGCTCTTGCACTGCCATACTATATATTCCTCAAAATCTATTATAGTAAACTGTGGTAAACAGTCTTTTTTATCTTCCCCAGATGCATTTTTCTGCCTTCTCCTTTAAAAGACTCTGGTTGCCCCACAGAGGTGCAGACGATCCGGCCCAAATTAGAACTCTCCACTCCCTTGCAACAGTGACAGGTCCAAAGGCAGGCACATTACCAAGCTGGGCCACTCACAGCCTTTCCCTCAAACTGATATCTGATGTAGTGAAAGGCTCTCTCCCTTTGCTGGGATTGTAAACTGGGGCTGCTGGCACCTGTGCCCCCTCAGGGAGGGCAGCCTCTCTGCAGTAGAGAAGACTGATGCCAACACACAAAGAACAGAAGGCAAGGAGCCAACTGGACCACTGGCAGTATCAACTCGCATTCCAGAACCTCTTCCTTTTGCGCACTCCTACAGCATCCTTCCCAGTCATGGAACCAGTAACTACCCACTTATGCCTCGGCTAGCTGGACTCCCAGCAGGCCCATCATGCCGTTTTCTGTATCTGTGCCTTTTCCCACGTTGTTTCCTCTGCCCAGAATGCACACTCCCTGGATTTTTACCCAGCAGCCAGACTTCCTCTGTGGAGCCTTCCCTGAAGGGAAGCACAGTTAGTCCTGTCTTCCAGATCTGCTCTAAAATGCCTAGAATACACCCCTCTGCCATGCTTAGACCCCTCCCTCTGTCTCTGCAATCTCAGAGCTAGCTAGCTGCTCAAGCTAGAAACCTTAGACCAACCTGCTCTCCTTGCACTTCCTCATTGTCCTCATGGACCTTCCTGTCCTTCCTTTCTGCTGCAGTTCTACTGTCACGGCCAGGACCTCAAGACCTCCTGCTTGGACACAGACAGTAGCCACCTGGGCTCTCTCCATTCCCTCTCTTTCCATCCCCCTCCCGCTGCTGTCAGGGCTGATCCTCCGCGGTCCTCCTGCACCTACAGTTCAGAGCCCTTGCATCTAAACTAGCCCCGATCTATATGCTCCAATTTCCCCCAACCATTTCCACTCCCAACAGGATGGAGCAGGTGCACTTTCCCCAATTCAACCTGCTAAGAACAATGAAAACCCCTCGGCATTCTATGCTAGATGACTATAAGAAGACTCCAAAGGGCAGGCTGAAGAAGGTAGACCAGCTAGGGACCTCAGGACCCAAGAAACAACGCAGTGGTGAGCTTCCTGCATTTCCTTTTCTGCATATAGCTCAGACTTGGAACTAAGGAGACCAGCAACCCAAAAACTGGTCTCCTTAGAGACCCAAAAACGCCAAGGAGCACAAAGAGAAAATGCCCCAACAAATCTCCCTCTATCAAGACTGAAAACTTGGAGATAATAACCACTCTATTTCAGCCAAACACCACACACAAAGAAAACCCACAGTCCTACTCACAGCCATACCAGCAAAGTGCAAGTGGTATCTACAACAAATCCACAGATGACCTTACACTTAATGGTGAAAGGCTGATGCTTGTCCCCAAGGCTAGGAACAAGGCAAGGATGTGCACTCTCACCGCTCTTGTTCACCATAGGATTAGAAGTCCCAGCCACCACGATCAGGCAACAAAAGGAAATTAAAAAGACATACAGATTGGAAAAGATGAAATGAAACAATCCCTATTCGCAGGTGATATGATTGTATATACAGAAAATCCCGAGGAATAAACAAACAAAAATTCTATGACTAATTAGTAAGTTTAGCAAACGTGCAGGATACAAGATAAAAATACAAAAATCAATTGGATTTCTATATACTAACAATAAACACACGGATATCAAAATTAAAAATACAACCGCATTTGCAATCACTGTAATTGAAAATCATTGTAAAATGGATGGAAAAATAACCTACTCAATTCATCAACACATGCTGAGATATCTAAAATTCTGCTGGGCTGGCATTTTCACCATAAAAATGAATGCCTCAACCCCATTGCTTTTAATAGGCAACGGTTTAAAGAAAAAAAAGAAATAACTATAATTTCTCTCAACTAACCATTGTATGGCTTAGCCACTTGAGGTCCTGTGCCATGAAAACAGGGATGATATATTGTTTTGCTCTTCAATTAAATAAAATAACTAGCGGGGACCCAGCATCTAGTAGGTGTGCACTATTTGTTTTCACAGCTCATACCCTGCCATCTCCCTGATGAACTTTCTTCTCCATGTGCTCCTAGTGAGATCATGGTCTATTAAAAAGTCCCATCTCTAGTTT